GCTAGGTCAAGGATCCGTTCTCCCTCAGCGTTCCTTGCTCCTATTCCTTGACCTCCGTGCACCCTTTCTAGACCCCTTCTGTCACTTCCCACATGGCCATTCAGATCCCCAGCTATGGTGAGGTAGTCATCTTCCGGAACCGATCTTATGGCCTCGTCCAGGGTCAGGTAGAACTCATCCTTTTCCGCCTCGCAACCGGATTGTGGTGCGTACACGGTCAGTACTGTCCAGTACCCCTCACGTTAGTGATAGCTTCTTTTAAGTGTGGGGAGGGGTTTCAAGAAACGGAAGGCTACTGTTGCGTTTTCTACCTTCTCGCCATCTGAATATTCCCCCGTTCTGAAATATTTCGGACGAGTTACGGACGCGTTAGAGCTACATCGCGAGCGGGTTTCTATGCTTCAGACGAGTGCAACTTCTTTCACATGCAATCTTTGCAAAACTAAAAACATCACCAACACGCTCAGTATTTCGTATATTTTACAGCTTTCCTAAAGACTCACTAGTTTTCAGAAGATCTTTCATGTGGGTCACCACATCGGCGACACATATTCAAAAGCTCGACTCTTCGCGTGCCATTGTTAGGATACTCATTCGCGAACTTCAATATGCCTTCAAAACACATATTCCCGTTGAACTGAGTCAAAGCATAATTTGGTTATCATCGATCGATTTGGTCCGAGTGTGCGCCGTGCATTACGCTTCTACGCAGAGGTGGTGGAAAGGTGTAACTTCTGATTTTGGGTGATTTTTGTGCATACAATCAGATGTTGATCGATACGCACGAATCTGCTTGAGATCTATTATTAGGTCATATACGTGCTTACGAGTTCATGCTACCTGTTGATATGGCTAAGTAATAATTTTGACATTTTGAAGTCTTCTTCCACACATCCGAGGCCTCTGCAGCGCTGCGTCCGCTCCATCTCATTAGCAATGACACTTCTGTGATGTTTGCAGCTCATCGACCCTGCGTTTACTAAAAGCCGGCCTCCCTTCTCCAGCGGCCAAAGTGCAAGCCCCCCCCCCATCCCAGTTTGTACGTGCCATATTAACTCCATCTTCAACAGTACGCCCTAACCTTCACATCTGATTCCGATAAGACCACTACGACGCGTACGAGTGATGATTTTCTGCTTCGCGCGCATCCTCCGTTTTTCATTGATAGCAGGCCTTGAAGGCGGTGTCTGGGGGCGGAGTCACTGGAGAAAAGGAGGCGTCACACTGAATCTATATTGATCTACAGCGCCACTCCCTTACAATTTTTGTCGCAAAACCGGTACAAGGTTGTTCGTTGCGGACCACTCTGCTTTTCCGACGCCATATTTCCAACTTCTAGAGCTGATCGTGGGCTGTACTTTTGAGCCCTTTAAGCTTTGTATCGTTAGCGTAGGGAGTCACGGCGAGCGACCTAGCTTACATGAGCAATTTTATGGGCGTGGTGAAGATTATGCCGTTCAATTGTTATAGTCGTTTGGAAACTTCGTGGGCATTCCCACTCAAACATTGTCTTTTACATGGATCCTAAGCAGGCAGGAAGGAGATGCAGTCAGCTTCACTCAAGCAGGCCTTACCAGGTACACGTTCGCTGTCGCTAAGGAAAATTTTCAGGTAAGTACGTCCCCTCCCCTACTTCCGTCCTCTGATACGACCCTTCCCCATTCTACCCACTATTTTCCTAGATGTTTCCTTTTTCCTTTTTTCCTAGATTTTTTCCTAGATGTCCCAAAAATTTTCTACTTTTTCCCCGAGTTTTCCGCGGTTTTGAGCTGGGGAGGGTGTTCATAAGACGTGAAACGGGGTAAAACCGCGAACATTCGACAATCAGAAAATTTCTTCTCAATCCAATCCCTCTCAGGAGCAAGTACGACCCTTTAAAGCGTCTGCGAAACATGTAAGATCAACTATTAAAAATTTCCTCGGACAAAATGCGACTCCCGCTCATCTGTTCAGCGAACAAAAACACCTCCCCTCCTTGGGCATTCCCCCACGTACGACGTGGTCTGAGCCTTATTAGCGCTCACTTTACGTGCATCAATGAAGTTGCAACTGGTCAAAAACAGAAGCTACTTCAAGCAGTACAGCTTAAACGGACCTATGTGCCAATATGCTTTGGCGCTTCAGAGTGAGTAAAGGGTATAGTCAGAGTGGGTAAACAAAAAAAATGGAAACCTTCGCGGCGAATAAAAACAGTATAGATTTTGAAACTGGTGC